CACACACACCTCCTCTTGCTACTTTTTGCATTTGTATCTCTGTCTCCCCTTTAGCACTAATTTTAGCAATCTTCCAGCCACCCACATGTTTTTTGCTATACCTGCGTTTTTTCTCTTTTAATTCCCCCTGACAATAATTCTTACTTTAAAATTATTTTACCATACCCATAGTCCCTTCATATTTCCTATCCCAAAAGCATTTCTTGGGATGTCTTCAGAGTTTAATTTTGTTCAAAGGAAATTGAGGCCCAGGTCACATCCTAGTGTCTTCCAGTTTCCCCTCCCCCAATCCATTTCCCCCTCCCCCAACCCACAGGCGCCATTTACCTTCCTGTTAGCCAGTTCTCTTTCATCATCATCTTCTTACCCTTTTCTTTTCCTCCACACTTAAGTCGTTTTTCTTACGTTTCCTTGTAGACCAAGATCACTCCATGGATGAAATGACAACTGTGGTGAAGATTGAGAAAGGAGTTGGTGGCAGTAATGGGGGCAATGGTAATGGTGGTGCCTTTTCTCAGGCTCGAAGCAGCAGCACAGGCAGTAGCAGCAGTGGAGGAGGGGGGCAGGTAAGTGATGATCAGAGAGGAAGTGTGGGGCCCTGGGAATACTCCTAGATCTTTGTCTTAGACCTCACAGAAAAAAGTTTAGGGAGGACCTGGACCATTTCCCAGTTAGGGGAAGGTCAGGCAGAGAGACATGACTTGGAGATCCCCAGAGAGAGATAAGAATTTTAGCATTGTAGATAGTTTGGCTTTTGAGTTTTGCTCTGCAGTTCTAGTGTTTCGTTTCTATTTGTTGTGCACTGCCCCCTGGGCTGACAGCTGGGTGTTACTAATTCTTTTTCTCTCTCTCATTTTCTGGCCAGGAATCCCAGCCATCCCCTTTGGCTCTTCTGGCAGCCACTTGCAGCAGAATTGAGTCACCCAATGAGAACAGCAACAACTCCCAGGGCCCAAGCCAGGCAGGGGGCACTGGTGAGCTGGACCTTGCAGCCACACAACTCTCACAGGGGGCCAATGGCTGGCAGATTATCTCTTCCTCCTCTGGGGCCACCCCTACCTCAAAGGAACAGAGTGGCAGCAGTACTAATGGCAGCAATGGCAGTGAGTCTTCCAAGAACCGCACCGTCTCTGGTGGGCAGTATGTTGTAGCTACCACCCCCAATTTACAAAACCAGCAAGTCCTGGCAGGGCTCCCTGGGGTGATGCCCAATATTCAGTATCAAGTAATCCCACAGTTCCAGACCGTTGATGGGCAACAGCTGCAGTTTGCAGCCACTGGGGCCCAAGTGCAGCAAGATGGTTCTGGTCAAATTCAGATCATACCAGGTGCAAACCAACAGATTATTACAAATCGTGGAAGTGGAGGCAACATCATTGCTGCTATGCCAAACCTGCTCCAGCAGGCTGTCCCCCTTCAAGGCCTGACTAATAATGTGCTCTCAGGACAGACTCAGTATGTGACCAATGTCCCAGTGGCCCTGAATGGGAATATCACCTTGCTACCTGTCAACAGCGTTTCTGCAGCTACCTTGACTCCCAGCTCTCAGGCAGTCACGATCAGCAGCTCTGGGTCCCAGGAGAGTGGCTCACAGCCCGTCACCTCAGGGACCGCCATCAGTTCTGCTAGTCTGGCATCATCGCAAGCCAGTTCCAGCTCCTTTTTCACCAATGCCAATAGTTACTCAACAACTACCACCACCAGCAACATGGGAATTATGAACTTCACCACCAGCGGATCAGCAGGGACCAACTCTCAAGGCCAGGCACCCCAGAGGGTCAGTGGGCTCCAGGGTTCTGATGCTCTCAGTATCCAGCAGAACCAGGCTGCGGGGGGCTCACTGCAAACAGGTCAGCAGAAAGAAGGAGAGCAAAACCAGCAGGCACAGCAGCAGCAACAGATTCTTATTCAGCCCCAGCTCGTTCAGGGGGGACAGGCCCTGCAGGCCCTTCAAGCTGCACCACTGTCAGGGCAGACCTTTACGACTCAAGCCATCTCCCAGGAAACCCTCCAGAACCTCCAGCTCCAGGCTGTCCCCAACTCTGGCCCCATCATCATCCGGACACCAACAGTAGGGCCCAACGGACAGGTCAGCTGGCAGACTCTTCAGCTGCAGAACCTCCAAGTTCAGAACCCACAGGCTCAGACAATCACCTTGGCTCCAATGCAGGGTGTTTCCTTGGGGCAGACAAGCAGCAGCAACACCACCCTTACACCCATTGCCTCCGCTGCCTCCATCCCTGCCGGCACAGTCACTGTGAATGCTGCACAACTCTCCTCCATGCCAGGCCTCCAGACCATCAACCTCAGCGCACTGGGTGCTTCTGGGATCCAGGTGCACCAACTTCCAGGCCTGCCACTGACGATCGCCAACGCCTCAGGTAAGACTGGAAGTCTGGCATTTCTAGAGCAAACTCTGAACACTCGCCTCCGAGGAAGAGAGTGGAGGCAAGTCAATTAGAGAAGTAGCAATGGTTCTGTTTTAAATGAGTTGGAACCCAATGAACGGAAACTTTATGTTTCCATGAAAAAGAAAAGAATACTTTGAGGAAAATGTCCTGCTGGAGGCGGGACTCCCAGGATCTTGGGTGGTGTTGAACGAATGGGTCCGCAGGCTTTCTGCAAGGGCCCCATAGAAATAGTTTAAGTGTGAGGGTGTCTGCCTCCGACGCTTCTTTCCTTGTGTGTTTTATAGCCTTTTAAAAAAGTGAGCATGCTCTTCTCATGGGGGCTGTATTTGGCCAATTCCTCTGAAGAAGTAGGAATTGATTATAAACATGACCTATTTGTGGAGCAGTTAGGTTAAGTCAGCAGATGTTGCTCTTAAACTTTAACTCTGAAGCCAGAGAAACGTGAGCTAGTGAAATCCAGAAAGATTTTTCAGTAAGACACATTCCCTGGTTAATCTTTAGTTAGGGCTTGTTAACCACGGTTTATTGATTTATTTTTTACTTCTAGTTACTTTGAAAGCCTAATTCCGCTCTCTAGTGTTGTGACCCTGGAACTTCCTTGATAGAGAACAACTTCCTAGACTGCTTTGGAAAGAAAGCCCCGTGTCTGGTGGGGAGAGTGGGCAAACAGGCAGAAGAGAGAGGGGTGTGCATTAGAATAGGAAGGTGGAGTGCAGAGAGGAGTAAAGGGTGGCATTGAAGGTGGTAACAGTAGGATGAGGCCTATGTCGGATTCATATTGAGGCAGTGGACCACATTATTCCATTATCCATTTTGAACATGATTTCACTATGAGTTAATTGGATGTTTAGAACTTCCATGAAAGAAGGTGGGAATGGACATCTAGGTACAATTTAACATTTTAAGTCCCATGGCAGTGGTACTAATCTTTGATAAAGCAAAATAAAAGACAATGTCTATGTTTGTAATTGGAAAACAGTGTAATACCACCACTTTTAGTTCTCTTGGATGGTATCGAGGTTTAATGGATTGTTTTTGCCACGGTAGTTGCATTTCCTTATAAAGGCTGGTTCTGTAGGTTAAGTGATGGTAACAAATCAACAGTCCTGTTTCCTGCCTCCTACAGTTTCAGAAAATCTGGCAGGGGGACGTGGGGGATTGGTATCTGCTAGTTTCCTAACTCTCTTAACGTTATCTTCTAGAGTTGCACATTTAGAATAAGTACATTTTGATTTTTTAAGTGAATCGACAATTTTGGACTAGACAATTAGTGCTGGAAGAGACTTAAGAAATAATCTGAAACGATTGCCTTGTTTTCTGGGTAACAAAACTCGGGTAGTGAGACAACAGGCAGTCCGGTCATTGGCAATGGTAGGCCTCACAGTTGTCTCCGGTTCCTAGTGTGGGGCCGAACTTTAGAAATTGTTACAAAACTTCTGGAAAAGTAATGCCTTTGTTGCTTTAAGATGGGATGTCTTGGCGTTGACAGATGTTTTGGAGGTTAAGAAAACGCCACTTCAACGGGGTACACGGGAAAAGCTTTGTAAAAATTGAAGGCAACAGTCTAGGAAAATTAGACACTTTCTAGGTAATCCACACCTGCATGTTCGTTTTCTCTGCTCTTCAGTTGTCTTGTCCTGGAGGCTTTCTTTTCTTCAAAAGAGGACAGAAAGCAAGGCCGGGGGAGTATTTTTAAGTTAACAATCATTTGGATCCTGGTAGTTTCTAAAAGGTTTATAACGTAAGCCCTGGAGAGAACAGTTAGGAGGCGTTCTCATTGCTAAATCATGCTCTGCGGATGCCTGCCATTTAATATGTCATAGGATAGGACTGACTACCTAGCTGTTATTGATGGTCTCTGGGCTCAAGAAAATGCATGCCTTTGGTAAGGTAGCAGTAGCTTGACATTCACTAATGAGAGAAGGCCCCATTGAAAAGCCGTTTTGTGAGGGTTGGAATTGTTTCATTAGTGGTGGTTTCTGAAGATACACGTATTCTCCTTTCTAGTCAGTCATAATTGTACAACATCTCTCCTTTAATCGATCTGACTTTATCCTTCATGAGTGATAATAAAATAATTTCCTGGTAGCTTAGTGTTGTTCAGCTGTTGCCTGGCTGCTACCAAGTGTCTTGTTTCACTCATTTTTCTGCCATATAGTTTGTTGTTTTGTTTTTACTGGAAAAATGCAAGCTTTTGGTAGTTTGTTTTGTTGTACTAACCTTTTGGTAGTATTATGGAGTAGTAAAAACATTTCATGTGAAATCATGTTGTAAAAGTGTTTGTGTGTGCATATAAAGAGAGATATGTATATGATTAAAATATATGTATGATTTTATAAAATACATGTATAAATGTAAATGTGTGTATACACTATATATAATTTTACACAGCTGTGAAAGACTCCCAGAAAGTACTATTACATTTGTAATTTTAAAAAGTCATCTTTTAAAAGCCTTTTAAGATCTCCCAGTGACTCTGCAGGGGCAGAGCACAGTTAGATAACCAAAGCACCTCTCCCTTGGTTCCCAGGCTTTGCCCTGGTGGGTGGTAGTGCGGAAGGGACCACCCAGTAAAATGAACTTAAGTTTCCAGGCTGTGAAATGGCTTGTGGGCTCTTGCTTTTTCCTTTGTTCACATTATGCTTTCCTCTTTACCAGCATCCTCTGCTCTCAGTTTGTAGTTACATTGACAGATACGATTTTGTAAGTTTAAAGTAAAGCTCATATTTTGTTTTCTCAGTCGCTGCTGAATGCTGAACACTCTTGCCCAGGTTGAAGGGGGGGCGGACTTTGAAAGATTGAGTTTGGATGTCTACGTGGGAGTTCTGCCTAATACAGAGTGCAGGGCTGGGCTTTGGCAGGAGTAGAGAATCTATTTCCTTGATGACTATAATTCACTCAAGAAGCAACTTTCAGACACTAAAAATAAAAATTTCACATCTGCTAAGTTTTACCGGGGTCAGGAAAATGTCTTTCTCTTAGAAGTGAAATTGAAGCGTGTGATGCCAAGGTTGGTTTGCCAACGGTGTCACTGAACTTGGGTTCAGTTTACTGAGACCTACTTTGTGGAAAACTGTTTTCGTGCATTTGAACATTCGTGATCAGCAGGTTCCTAGGATTAAAATATACTAAGACTTTTTCTCGTACAAAAAGTCAGAAGAGACATTATTTCCATTTAAAAAATGTTTTATTACCAAATATATTTGATTTAACATCAGATGTTTTCTCTAAATCTTTGCCTTTATCTTTTACTGTACATGTGTCTCAGGATGATATTTTGGTGCTTTTTAAATGGTGATTTCTATTTAAATAGAGATTAGAAATGGAGGTGCCCTGATTGATTGGAAAATCAGTAGGAGAGCAAAAGGCAGTCTTAGAGACCTTTCCAACTGCTCTTATTTATCCATTTCAGTGACTTTCTGTAAATGACGTCAGTGTTAAATCACGCTGCATTGTGGAATGTGGCCATTTTAGTTCTTAAATAACCAGAGCACAAGGGTGCCTACAGACAAGTGTAATATCTGTTGGTGTAGCTCCTTTTTCCTTTAATTGTGCCTTTTTATAAGTAGCGTACAAATGTTGCCATCAATAATTTAGTTCTTATTTTTGTTTTGTGTGTTTCTTCAGAAATTCTTTTAAATGGAAGGTGAACATCTGTAGAAAAGCCTTAGTATATAACACTTGTAAGTTACTGATTTGTTCCTATTTAGTACTAATAGATAGTCATTCCTTTGAACTTTTTTCATTAGTGTTTAATTGAAAAACAAATACATTAAAAAACTTTTACCCAAAGTATGTCACAAAAGTGCTATTATCCCTTTTCCTAACATTTAACAAGTAGTAGTATTGGGGACCTGGTCTGCTGTGCTGTGCTGTGTTCATGCTGTGCTAGGTTTTAAGAATTGTTTCTGCTATAAGATCTTGAAAAACATTTCTTTACTTTTTTTTTTTTTAATGACTGCGTGTTGATTGTGAATAGGGGTGGTAGTTTGAATTTGTACTTTTGCTCCAGTGCATTCTGGACCGAATGGCTTGTGGAACCTGGGCAGTATGACCTGTCTGACAAGTTTGGATGTGCCCATTTAATTTACTGTGATTCTTCCTTCTCACCTCTACATCTGGGTACAAAACAAATACTAAGTGAACAACTTTTAAACGTGGAGTAAGAATATAAAATACTTGATCAAGATAAACACTTGCTCTTTAAGAACTGAGGGAATGAAATTAAAACTATAATTCTCATTAAATAAAAACAATTTAAAATTTTTGGTTTCCATAGGAAAGTGAGTACTTGCTGTAAATAATCTAGCTTAGGCTAAGTGCTTTTCCCTAAGTCTTTCCCAATTGTTGAATATTCTTTTCAGAACAAATGATGGCTTAAAAATTACAGCTCTTTCCAAATTTAATGCAATTAAATCAGTCTATCCCTTGTAATGGTGATTAAATAAAGGTTACCTACCACCTATGGAATCCCCTCATCCTATCCAGTACCTTAACTTATAGACCCTCAGGCAGCAGTTCACAACCTGTGGGCCTCAACCCCTTTGGGGGTCAAATGACCCTTTCACAGGGGTCACCTGATTCATAACAGTAGCAAAATGACAGTTATGAAGTAGCAGCGAAAATAATTTTATGGTTGGGTGGTCACCACAACATGAGGAACGGTATTAAAGGGTCCCAGCATTAGGAAGGTTGAGAACCACTGCCCTAAGGGGAAGAAAGGCATACTGGAGGCCTAGTGGTTTTGTGTTGGGCTGCTGACCACCAGGCCAGCAGTTTGAAACCATCCACTGTTGCACAGGAGAAAGGCTAGACTTTCTACTCAGGTGAAGAGTTTCAGACTCAGAAATCCACAGGGTAGTTCTACTACCCTGATCTGTAGGATTGCTATGAGTTGGAATCAACTCTAATGATTTTAATGAATAGTTCTGAGTGTTTGTAGATTAATATAGAAAATAGGCTGTAAAAGT